TGGCCAGCAGGTCGAGGGAGGTGATTCTGCCCCTCTACTCAGCTCTGGTGAGACCTCACCTGGAGTACTGCGTCCAGCTCTGGAGCCCTCAGCACAAGAAGGACATGGAACTGTTGGAACGGGTCCAGAGGAGGGCTACAAAAATGATCCGAGGGCTGGAGCACCTCTCCTATGAGGACAGGCTGAGAGAGTTGGGCTTGTTCAGTCTGGAGAAAAGGAGGCTACGGGGAGACCTGATTGCGGCCTTCCAGTACCTAAAGGGGGCCTATAGGAAAGATGGGGAACGTCTTTTTAGTAGGGCCAGCTGTGTTAGGACAAGGGGAAATGGTTTTAAACTAGAACAGGGTAGGTTCAGGCTAGAGGTAAGGAAGAAATTTTTTACAATGAGGGTGGTAAAACACTGGAACAGGTTGCCCAGAGAGGTAGTGGAGGGCCCATCCCTGGGAACATTCAAGGCCAGGTTGGATGGGGCTCTGAGCAATCTGATCTAGTTAGCAGTGTCCCTGCTCACTGCAGGGGGGTTGGACTAGATGACCACTAGTGGTCCCTTCCAACCCTAAACATTCTATGATTCTATGATTCTATGATGTGCTCTTGTGCCACAGGTACATTTAAACACAGTCAAAGAAATAGATTAGAAATGTTCTCTAATGACAGTATATATTTTATACTTCTTAACAGTAAACTACAATTTATTCTGCAGTAATTCAGTCATTGCATAAAATGTTATGGCCCACAGATCAGTTTTATTTTTAATGAAATTGGTGTAGTGTAAAATAAAGGAAGCGACAAGTTGCGATAAACATTTTGCTAGTATCTCAGAAAGTAATTATTTTAAAATAGAATGAAACTGAATCAGCTAATATATTTTAGTGGCTGTGCCATGTATGCTGGCAAGCATACCACTCCATAATGCTCTCTACAGCATCCTTCATACAGCACTCCTAATTCCTTTCCAGTGTCCTTCTCAAGTCTGTTAGTCAAGTAGTAACCTGTCTCATGAGTTTGTCTGAAGTGTATGTGGTGACTACATAGCCAGCATGGTTGTGCTGGTTGGTCAGATGTCTGATGTTTGCTGGAATGAGTGTTGTGTGGAATTATAACGAACTTTTCTTCCTGAGGACATAGAGAGTCTCTGCTCTCTGTTGGCTTCCTTCAGAAATTTTAAATAGCCTAATATCCTGAGATAATACTTTCATTTACTAAATCCTTTGCTAAATTGTGAGGGCCTTGGCTGAGAGAGTCAAAATTTAGCATGGCTAGGGTGGAGATCACTGAAAGACAGCTCTGATGTGTATTTCCCTTTATTTTGGAAAACAGACTTAAAATAACACCCTGCCTTAACTAATAGGACTACACACACATATATTAAAAAAAAAAAAAAGTAGATGGGCTGTTCTGGGTTGCATTCTTATACTAGTTTAGGAAAAAAATGTACCTAATATGCATAAAAATCTCTTCACAATAGTGAATATACTGTTCTTAGTGAAAACTGGTTTTCTGCAAGATCTAATGGGTCCTTCTAAAGTGGTCTGCAACTGGGCAATGGCAAAAAAAAAAATCAGTAAAAGATCCCTGTTGCTGCTCTTCAGTTTTATTCAGGTTGCCATAAAAATACTTAAATTTAATAAAGAAACTCCGTACAGGCTGCAGTTGTGTTTGTCATGTGTTTGATAATGCCTGCTGTGCAGACAAATTATGAGTCTTCATTGCTGTAAGATACAGAGTAGTTTCAGTATGTCAGAGGGAAAGTGATATGAAAATACTAAACAGTGTTTACAAATGTATTGCAGTTTGACCAGGGCATGCACTACATTTTGAACAGTGGTAAATTTTATCCCTTAAATCTGCATTTTAATGCTCATTCTATTTAATGTGACTGTTAGCTTCTATGTATCATTTGGTGGTGCTTATCAAAGTCCTCTGGTGGGGCCCAGTCCATGAGTCTTTCTGGTACTTTAAGTCAGAAACCCCTTGTTAAAAACATTTTTCAGTAAGAGAAACTGGTGAATGTAGAACCTTACTTGTAGTTGTTGTCATTAGATAAGCACGCTATTAGTGTAACATAGAAAGAAAACTCCTGAGTTTGTTTAAAGGAAGTGTAGTGGAATTCATGCAGCTTTTGATAACTTATTTCTTCCTGATGTACAAGAAGTAAACATTTAATTGCAGTTAAATCTCGTGGCTCACTTCCACACCCAGCAAGCATGCAAGCAAAATTAGACTCTGTGTTCTCTAGTTGTTAATGAGATTTTTTTTGTGTGTTTGTGTAGCCAGTTGAATTCATCAATATTATAAAAATAAAAATTAGGACTTAACACAGAGTGTTTTATTATAAGAAAATTAGTTGGCATACAGTATTACTTGGGTCTGATAAAAGGAATAAAAATGTTACTGATGGGTAAGTGGGCACATAGTTAATGAGTATTTCAGTGACTAATAAACTCCCTATTAGTGTTTTGACTATTTGACTGGTTTTTGCACTTTTTTTGACAGCATACAAATTAAAGCACATTGCAGAATTTTGCTACAAATAAATACATTTATTTTACTAAGACAATGTTTAACCTATATCCTATAAACTAAATTGTATTTGGGAGACATTTTCAAACACTTGTATATCCTTTATACAAAATGAATAGATTTTGCTGCTTATTCAGAAGTCCTGGAATAAACTGAAATGGCATTTATTACATTATCAGATTTAGAGTTTCTTCAATCAAGGGTTTACATCTAGAACTTGGAAGCAATTTTTCTCTGTAACACTACCAAACAGTTGTATTCTGTCTCCATTATGAGTTTCTTACAGTTTAGCTAACCTATAACTAATTAGCATGAGATTGTTAATGTGTGGTTTCTTTGCTTCAGGTTTAATTATTTTGCAGATACTCATTAAAATATCTTGGCTGTTTCTGAGAGTGATTTACAATAAATAAGCTCACTTTGTCAGTGTTAAAAGTAATTTTTTTAAAGATTCTTTGATAATAATTTTGAGAGCTGATGGTAAGTGAGAGTTAACAAACATACAGCCTTTGGACTAAATCATGTTATGAATACCTTGGAATTTACATCAACTTACACTGAACTAGGGATGCTTAAAGGCTGTTTCAGTGTTCCAGTTAGAGCCCTCTTCTTACAGAATCTGGATTACAGAAAATCCAGATGTTAGCTACTCCGCTGGTTTACAGTAGTGCCAGAAAACAATTGGATCCTATACAAGCGGTGTATTGTTAGAGAAGAACATGTTAATAAAAGGGAAAGAAAACCCCATATATTAAGTAAGGATAAAATACATAAGTAGTTTTGAGTCTTACTATGTGGGCTTTTATGGTTTCAAATCAATGTCCTTTTAAAATTAGGTGATTCAGGAGAACTGAGAGTTATGTCCTTTGTTTTTAGGGTACAAAAGAATTTACGTTCTATTTCTAGTTAAAAACAGTGATACTTAAAATAATTGAACAAAATATTTAAGGAATTATAGAATTTGTCCGCAGTTAAATTGATATGAGTTAGCTTAATTCACTGATATTGACACTCACTGTTTTTTATCAGCAGAGGCTCAGCCCCTATCTTTTCTTTAAATAAAATCCAGGAGTCTGCATTCCATGTTCTCCAATAATTCAATTGTCATACCACTTTGCTTGTTTTCACCAGAGATACTGCTTTTTCTCCTAGGACAAGAAGGACAAAGTCTCAAGATTTGACACTATACGTCATTCCATAGCTGGAATTATAAGGTCTCCAAAATCCATGTTGGGGTCATCGTCGGTAAGTAGTGTCAATAATGGTGTGTTCTACTACATTCTGTAATTTTTACAGCTTAAGTAGGATTTTTTTTTTCTGAAGCATCATGCATTCCCATCTACGTAGAAAAAAATTACATTAAAATAATGTTACAAAAACAATCTTCTGATTGATAAGCAGATATGATAATATTATGGCATAATAGTATGTCAGAACAACTTGTTGCACTTTAGGGAAGAAAGATAATTTGTATGTTTGCAGCTCCCAGACTGGTGTTATACTTCTAAGAGTACTCTTCCCATCGAGTCTGATTTACTGGAAATGCAGTGTATTATGTGTATACCCCATATTTGTTATAAAGGCACCAATATATAAGCATATTATTATTATCATTATCATTATTATTTACTAATACTGCTACTTCCTCAATAACTGGTACTATTTAAGTAATCAGTTATTATACATCTTGCTTCAGTCCCCACCAAAAATGGTTGTTGAGTATATCTTCTGGTTGGCTTTTGTTCAGGTTCCCTAATGGATGGAGAAACTTTTTTGTTTCTTTTGCTTTTGTATTATATCTGTTCATTTCCATGTAGAAGCTTGCAAGCCTACTTAGAACTTGAGCACCTACTTACGGACATGTCAGATGTTACTTGAAAACCTTCCTCCTGTGTTTTCCTAGAGACATAGAGTTCAACTTTGTCTATTTGTATGTGTTATGCAACTTATTATAATAAAAAAAAAAACCAAACAAACGCCCAAACTACTTAAAACTACTTCAGACAAAAATTGGAAGACAAAAAATTTCAAGAGGAGGATCAAGATAGAACATGTAAGATGAAATTAGGGGAAGTCAATGTAAAAATTTTCATTGGCTTTAATTAAAGTGACATTTTTAAATCACCTACGTACATAATTTTGATTTTCATTCACATCTATATCGTTATTATTTCCATGGAAGTTGATGTAAACCTGGGTGTAGATATATGGTAGGTACAAAGACTGAAGCCTTGGCATATGTTTGGGAGAAGTAAGACTGGAATTGGGTCATTTGAGGCAGAAAGTAAAATCTGAGTAGCAAGTACCTATGACTTAAATGAGTTTCAAAGTCTGATATATAAACCAATCTTTTTTCGGTTTTGCTTTGTGTTTTGATTCAGCCATTTCTTGTGTGTTAGAAAAGCTAACTATGCATATGCAGCTAAAATTTTCTCCATGAATTAGTACTTAGGTCTTAATGTGGTCAGATGCTTGGGTTTTTCCGGCTGACAATTACATAACCGTGCTTATTGCTAAATGTGTAAACTGGTACTCAAAACTATTATACATCAACGAAGTATACAAAGTGATTATTAAAGGTGTATTATAAAGTAATATACATAAAATAATTTACTGTTTCTTTAAAGTAGACCAATACAAAAAATTGTCTAAAAGCAGAGAAGGAAAAGGATTGGTACAGATCGTCTTGTAGAGTATGGTCTAAAAATGTGATTTACCTGTTTTCATATGATATGTTTTAAGTATATTGGAACTTTGAAATTGGAGCCATATCTTAGTTTAAATGTAGTGCTATTCTGAAAACACCATCTGATATTTAATTGGTGGGAGAAGTTGAATTGTGTGTGTAGTGGGAGAAGACAATTGGGTTTTGTGTCATCTGAAGAAAGTCTTGGAGAAACTCTGTACTTCCAAAAGCAGACAGGAGTTTAACCATTACTTATGTGTTGGCACTTAAATGATTTACATGTTCTCAGACTGAGATGGTAAAAGGTAATATAGGGAAACAGTATAGTTTTTACAGAAAACAGCAAAGTTAGGGATTCAGGTGGATTCTCTTGGACAAAATGCAAGCTAATTTACTATAATAGTAAGAGGCATAAGTTTAATCAAATGAGGAGAGACAACACAAGCAAAGGGGCAATTTCCATGTACCTGTAATGCAGTGCTATGAATGAACTGCATCGTGAATGCCAGCTTCTGCCCTCATGCCCATTTTTGTTGCCACTGAGGCATTTGGGCTTGGCACAGATATCAGTTATTGTTTATAGGATAACTTTTTTACTGTTTAGAGGACAACAGGTGAAATTAATGTTGTTTTCATATGGCATATTAGCATGTGGGGGTGAGCCAGGTACTGAGGTTAAAGGCAGGATATTCCATAGGAAATTGTCTCAAATTATCAACCTAAATGTATTGCTTTACTTTTTCATCTGTGTCTGCCTCCCTCTTTTACACTGGGAGAGAAAAAATGTCTTGACAAAATATTTTATTTCCTTAAAGATGGAAAATAAGGAAGTACTCAGTTTGAGCTCAGAACATATGTGAAAATACAATAGTAAGCTATTAGTTAATAAAATATTATTCCCATTATTATTTTCTTTTCATTGACAGCATAGGTACAGGAATAATATCTCATTTTTTTGAGTTAGAAATAATTCACTGGTGTTTGCTCAATTTTTGTCTTGAATAAGGGCAGCAGCTGGGGACTGCTTCATTTTACTCTTGGAAAAAAACTGCTGTTTCAATGGATTGTTAAATAAGGAGAAGGAAGGGGGCTCAGAATAAGCAAAGAGGACAGTAATGTGTCCATGAGGAGCGTGATGAAGTATATGAGGGCATTTCTTTCTCTGAGAAGAAAAAGTGTGAAGTATATAAGGGCACACACCCCCTATCCCTGCCCCAATAACTCACAAGTTAAATATGACAATTAATGGAAATATTGAAGGAAAAAGAAAAGGCAAAAAAAGAAGGGGAGTGGGAAGGAGAGTAGAAAATTGACAAAGTGAGTTCCTTTCCTTCTGTATAATTTTGTTAATTGTTTATTTTTAGTTTCCAATCAAATTAACAACAAAAATCTTAGAAAAATATTTCTTCATTTAAGCTGTTGAATCACTGATTGTGTAAGTGCATACATACAAATAAGCAAGAGATCTCATCCCCAAGTGAAATCATAAAACGTTGAGGCCTAGAATGCAAACTTGTACTTTCAGGTATCTAATTAGTCATATTAAGTTGCTTACTGATATGTAAACTCAGTAGAGTTTAAAGAAAAGAGACTGGAATATAATTGTGTGTGGGTAGCTTTTTTTCCTCTGTCGTCTTGTCTTCAGTGTAAACTGAGTTGAAATCAATAGTAAAATGATTATATATCTTGCATTTGTACTGTTCTGGGCTTTCAGCTATGTTTTCTTTCATAGCCAGTCAGGGTGAATATTGTATCATACAGAAAAAATGGTGGTGTCAGAAGACTTGTTCATAAAAATAATACAATTTTAATAACATTTAAACATGATTAGTTTCTGCTTGCTTCATCAGAAAAACCACCTTGATTATGATTGCCCCATAGTATATGATGAAAATAAGAGTAATGTAAGGTAGGAGACAATCAGCAGAGATACCTTGTGGAATTTTCATTGTTTCCTTGTAAAGTAATAAATATTAGTTTAACCAAATTTAAAAGAAGGGGGCAGATTGACATTACTGCCATAATCAATGCTATAGTTAGCAATGTCTAAAATGCTCTTTTGTTCTTCCCTAAGCTTTTTTTCTGTCATAAAGTCTTTTAAGATGTTTTATTCTTGGATGTGATCATGATTGTCTGAACAGTGACTCAGACTTGACCCAGTTCAAAGCAGGTGTTATTATCTGATGTCTTCCCCTTTAGTAAGCTGTAAAGTAAGTTGCATGTCAGATTTTTTTATTTTTTTAAAAATTCCTTTGTGAAGACCATGAACTAGTTTATTGACCCTGAACTGTCCTTTTATCCTTAGAAACATTTCCTCTCAAGTAGAAATGTGTTTCTGTGGCAAAGGCTTTGCTACTCTGAATGCCTTAACGTTCCTTGATAGCTTGGTTTTTCTGGCGAGTCAAACTCAGCATCATTGAACAATAAATGTTCAAATAAATAACATTTTCCAACATTTTGAAAGCTTGTTTTTTCTTTTAGGAATTTCTGAAAGAGAATGACTTAGTGTCATTTAACACTGGTAGACAGCTCTGATCTGAGAAGTATTTAACTGTTGATGAAATTGAAATATATGACTGCCTTCTTGGCTAAACAATATCTTGGGCTTTTAGTAGTTCACCGTGCTGAAGCACAGACCTTGGAGTACATCTTTGGCTTCTAAAAACTCTGACTGTGTACTTTCTGTTCAAGCTTTTTGTCCGTTCTTACGTAGTCCTTCCTAGCTCTGAGTTTGTAATAGAGCAGAATCTGTAACAGAGCATACATGCACTTTCTAGTGCTGAGTCTATTGATTACAGTGCTGGCCTCAAATCTCATGTCTGAAATTATCCCTGATATGGGCCCAGGGCTCTGGATCCCAGTGTCGATGTCTGAGAATATGACGGTCTGTCAGGCTCTTAAATATGTTCTCCAGTTTTCCATCAGAATCCTGGACTGAACTAGACCTTTTAAGGTATGACTTAGAAAGTCAGCCAGGAACCCACAGACAAAGGCATTTTTTATACCTGAAAATTTACCAGGAAAGTGCTAAAGAATTACTGATATTTGGAAACAAGAAGTTCTGAGTAGATTCCCTTTCTTGGGTCTACACTTTCCCAATCTGAGAGTCTGATATCATTCCTAGTGTTTTTCGGCTAGGTAAGTTACCGTAACCTAGATGTCTCCCCAGGAAGACCTTAAATAGTCAGGTGGCCTCTACCATGCCTGTAGCTGCACCGTCAAATTTTTCCCTTGCATGCACCAATGGAGTGTTTCCATTCTCTTTTCCCATCCCCCATAGGGGAAATACCATATCATCCTTGATGATATGAAGAAAACCTTTTTTTAATCAGGGCAAAGCAGTAGGAGTGGTTAATTTAGAATCATATGCTTTGTTAGTATCTCTTTGTTCATGCTTAATTGAGGTGTGGGTCTTTGTGCTGTTATCTAAAATACAGCTCAGCAGGTGTGCTTGGGATGTATTCACAATACAGTAGGCACTGTTATTTTGTTCAGAGCTTTACCACTCTGGCAGTGAGAATTTCTATGGGCTCTGGCATCCTCTTCAACAATTTTGAATGACATACAACTTAAGTTAGGGCTTGTCTGTCTAGCCATAACAAATAAATCTGAAGTGATCATTGAAGAAAAGTTTTCCTCAGTGTTTTCTTAAACAATGTAAGCTTATTAAAATGAATATGTGAAATTGTCAGTTAAAACTGATTACCTTCCATTTATAGCCAGTGAAAATAGTTTCTTATGATTTTGGTGCCTTCAGAAACTATGCTAAAATTCATAAGCACAGTACACTCAGGTGTATATTCTGTGATACAGTGTAAATGCTAGGAAAAATGTCTCGTAGAGCTATTAATTGATTTGGGATGTGGTATTAAATTCTGTGAAAACAATTTATCCAATTCAAATGCTTTGTATAAATCAATTTCTTATGTTTTTATGTCTGAGAAGTTTCTATCTGGATAAGGAAGTGGTTCATTTTGAATTGCTGTTAATAGCATGTCAGAATGTGTCAGAAAGAGTGGAGTGGTATGGCTTAGTGAAAAATATTACATGGTTTTATGGATGTTTCCATAATCTTCTGCTTTTTATATATTTTTTAGGTAATAGGAAAGAAGGTAATCAGTATGTCTTTTGTGTAAATGTAAGGGCCTTGATTTTGTTTGTTAATAGAAATAATGTAATTTAGATACAGAAATAGAAACTATTGTTGTTCATCATGCGTTTCATGTAAAAGCAAACTCTAAAAACATGCTGTTACAATAACATTTTTCTTCAATATTTTTCCCAAGTTCTTTGATGTAATATCAACCACTGAGAAACCATTGGCTGAGCAAGACTGGTATCATGGTGCAATTCCAAGAATAGAAGCCCAGGAGCTGTTAAAACAGCAAGGAGACTTCTTGGTGCGAGAGAGCCACGGGAAACCTGGTGAATATGTCCTTTCTGTGTTTTCAGATGGACAACGGAGGCACTTTATCATACAATATGCTGATGTACGTCTCTGATGTAGTACTGAATGTTCAATGTTAGGAAGTTCATAATTTTAGCTAAACAATTTAGGGTCTACATAATTTATGGCAAATGATCAGGGGGAAAGGTCATTTTGGGAAACAGAAGAAAAATACGATGTATGAGGTTATTCAGCATCTTTTATCTTATATTGAAAAGCCAAGATATTTCTGTAAATGTGCTGAAATTCGGAACTTGTTACTACTAATTTTTGCATGTGCCTTTATTTATTTTTAAACCCATCTTTATAGTTGGTGCTAATTAGGCTACTTCTAATTCAGACTGTAAAGATTCCAATGAATCTTACCGAAAAATTGAGACATTCATGGAGAAGAAAATAATCTGTGCTGGTTTCTATAGTTGGCAATTGAAGTCTCTGCTGCACTGGAGATCCTTATGTTCTTTGTATCCCTACGGATATTGTTTTGTTCAGTATATCACAAATGTTTGTGGTTGTTGCACAGCATATATGCTTCTAAGGACCAGAATTGACTCCTCTAACTTAGGAAAAATTGGTCATTTTAAACAGTATGCTAATTCTTATACGCCTTTGCTCATAATTCATTACTTGCTTTTTTTAATGTATGTATTTTTCTTTTTACCTTTCAGAATTTAAAAATCATTCAAAATATGACAAGTCTCATAACATTACTAGAAATTCTTCTTGAAGTATGACATAGCAGCAAATCATTGTCAGTTTTGATTCAGTAATGCTGCCAAAACATATTTCAGTCTCTTCTAATAAAATCTCCTACAGGCAGAAAAATGCACAAATTCAGTCGCATAACAATGTACTAAGGGAATCCTCCCCAGCTGATGCAGTATGCCTGGGAGAAGTCAATACTGTGTGCTTGGTTTATTTCTTTTTAATGAGGGGCAGTGATATTTTTCAAACATTATAGAAGTTTCTGTAGGATCAGTGATTACGAACACTTGTCCAGCTGGAGTTTTCATTAATTTTCACCTAGAGTATTTCTTGTAGAAATGAACCTTTACACAAAGTCAGTGTTTATTTTATTTTGATTTTATGACCTTAAAATATTTTGATGTATCAGAGTGCTGAATGACAAAAAAAAGAGTAATTAAATTACCTGTACCTAGATACACAGAGTCTTACAAGTTGCTTGGAGGTCTTTGATTCCAACCCAGCCGAAATAAATGCACACTGTAAAGTTGGTGTGGCTGAAATAATTTTGTGTAAATCATTGTGGCAAGTAGATCTTCAAAATATGCAGATTGGACTTTCAAGTCAGTAAAACTAGAGGAGTAGGCTTTTATAAGTATTACTGTGAGGCCACCCTTTCCCCTACAAAGCTATCCTTGTTTCCATAATTACACTACTTTCTCTTGGGAATTAGATTTGAAATGTAAGATTGATATTGTTTAATATTGCATAGATTGGACAGTCCAAACATCATAAGCTCACCAGATCTGTTTGCTTGGGAATTTAGTAATAGGGCATTATGTTCATCTGCATTTGGGATTCATTTATGGCAGGTTTTCTTGACAATCATGGAAGTTTACAGTTTTTTCTTAAGAAAATGCAGGACTCCTTTTGCACTTTTACGGGGTGAATTTTCTGCATTTATTGTGAAAAAAGCAGTAAATATAAAAAGAGAAAAAGCTTATTAAGCTCTAAAAAGGAGTTAGTAGATGGTGGGACTGTTATGGTCATATAATAAGAGGGATTGTATTCATGTACATTTTGGTTGAGAAGTTTGAGGAGAGTTTAGTGCAAGGGATTTGTTTCTTTGTTTACATTGGTATGAACAGTGTAGAATCAGGTCTCTGTGACTGGTCAAATCACACTCTCAGATCACTGACAAGTCCCCGTGTAGTAACCATACTTGATCTCCATATACAAATTTTCTTCTGAATCAAATACTGAAGGGCAGAGTAGGACATATACCTGTTTTAGCAGTGGTCCTTTAATTGCAGAAGTGTTTTCTCTCTGGTTTTACCATTATTTTAAATGGTAAGCCTAATAAAAGAGGTTAACTGTCCTATCTCTTTAAATTAAGAGTTTAAATAAATAGTTATTTTTCATGTTGCCTTAAATGAGTCATGCCATAGTTTTGCATTTATTACTTTATAATTTTCTAACTATTCTTCCATTTAATTCAGTAGAAATGCTATTAAACAGAAATCTGATTCTGTAAAAGCAAACATTTATTTGTTTTGTTACTAGTGAGGGAAGCTTGGTGATGCAATTCTGCAGTTTCTTGTTTGAAATATTGTTTGTAGAGAAACAATTATTCCCTTTTACCTCCATACAGAATCAATATCGCTTTGAAGGAACTGGGTTTCCAACTATTCCTCAGCTTATAGAACACCATTACACAACAAAGCAAGTTATTACAAAGAAATCAGGTGTTGTTCTGCTGAATCCTGTTGTTAAGGTAATGCATACATTCCAAGAACTCTATTTAACTGCAAAGAATTTTGGGGCTGGGGTGTGTGTGTGTGTGTTTAAGGGGTGGGTGTGTGTGTGTTTACTGTTATTTAAAATATGTTCCTATGCAACTTCTCAGAATTTTTTTCATTCTTGCTCATTTTGTGACTCTCTTTTTCTGAGCTTTTTCAACCTTCTCTGCTCTGTGCAACACATTCCTTTAAAATAATGCTTCATCCTGATTTCTATAATAAATAGTTACTACCTTGGAAGAATGGCATTCAGCACCTCACAAAATATTCTCCTACTTTTTTTTTTGGTTCCCCATTTGGTTTTCACTACTAAGTAATTGAAAATAGTACCTCATTGCCCATAAAGTTGTGATGAAGAAGTTTTTTTGATAAATGGTGTTCTTAAGTGGTAAAGTTCTCATGAAATTTGGAAGAATTCTGACAACTCCGTTTTGTCTCTATTTTATATATCAGATGTAAGTTACACAGCCTCAGAAAAAGGTACTGTCATTCCAGTGCTATTGTAAATTGAAATGAAAATTCCATTTTTAATCAGTAAGCTATTGCAGAAAGTCTTTCAGGAGGGAAACTAAAAGGAGTGGAAATACTAAACTAAATCACTGTTTAGAAAGCTTAAGGGGCTTTATTAATACACATCTTAGGTTAATGTGTAAATACGTAAATATACATTTTAGGTTAGTGTGTAAATTGACACTTCATTGAATGTAAAATGGTGCTTAAATTCATTGTAGAACTCATTAGAAAGTGTAGGACATGATTTGATGTGTGAATAATTGTATATTGATATAAACTGTTTAAGCTAAAAATAAAGGGCTGTCAAACTCAAATATTTTTATATCTGTTTGCAAATTTTTGTCTTTTCTAATACCGTATTTGTATTAAAAGTTTAATGCTCTTGCTGTTCCCTGGCTTTCTTTGTGCCTTTGTATCATGTACATACTGTAAGACCAGCCCTGTTTTAGCAAAAGTAAAACTGTAGTACAGTATGTTACTACATACCAAATGGTAGCAAAACTTATTCTTAGTTGTTCTCTGTTAAGGTTGAACAGGAAAACACCATCTCGAACGCATAATCTCTTCATTCTCTGTTGTGTACTTTGAAGACAGGGAGTTTCCATATTTGTGACATTTTTGTTTCATTTTGCTATCATGTTTTAATAAAGTTAAGTTTTAACTTATGCAGTTTTGTTTAACTATGTATAGTGAAGTAATTTTTCTAGTACCTATACTGTGGAAGAAATATGGTCACAAATTACTTCCCTGTTCATTTGTCTATTACTGTACTTGATCCTGTGTCTTTTGAGGTAAGGTAAATGCACATAGGGATAGTCTAAAATCCCTTGATGATAGCCATGCAGACATGTATGACTGTGTGGTGGGTCTTATGAGGACTTGCATCCATACCACTACATTCAGATGTATTATAACCTCCTTACAAAGGGATGGAGGTCAATTTTTAAGACAGACTTTTTAGCTTTTCTACTGTCACTGGGTGCAAAGTCATTTTCTGTTTTTATTTTCAGGGGGAAAATGAAGAGGGCCCACTGCTCTCTGGACTTGTCGATTTGAGTTAGTCTTAGTATTAAGTAAAATTAGTGGAAAAATTAGTATCCTATTACTATTATCCCATATTGGATTCTCTAGGATCATGCTGGTTTTATGCTGTTTTGAGCTGCAGTGAAAAACTGCTTTGACTGCTCAGGTTTACCAAAGTGCTGCAAGTAATCAGCATGTATCCATAAAATCCAATCACACAGGCTCCATTTAATTCATCATATAACTGATTTGTGCTGGTGTGCGTCAGTTTTAAAATTCAAGAGTATTTCCTTTCAGGTTGATGAACTTCTCAGCTTTCTTTCTGATAAGCTACATGAAGTAATGGAAAGGATATCCATGGTAATACTGACTGTTAGTGCTAAGAAAAATATTGGGTGACAGGAAGCTTTATTTTATAGGTTTTTTTAAATATATGTCTTACATATATTGTATGTAGGCTTTCAAGAATCTGTGAAATATTATCTTGAGTGTCTCATAGCTACTTGTACTTTGCGTAAACTAAAACCAATGTATAGTGTACTTAGTGTTTCACAACCAGCAATTTGAACCAAGTAAGACAGTATTGAATATGGTGATAACTAAATTATTTAAATTGTTTTCAAGCAGCTATTTTAAAATATATTTAAATTCTTTTGTTTTGTAATACCTTTTGATCTGATCTATGATTTTACAATTATTTTAGTTCTCCCGTCTGATAAAAACTAGTTGGAAAAAAGTATTTCAGAACTAATAAAAAGAGTGTTGTCAGCTTTCCTTTGTAATTTACATGGAGCTGTGGCCTTCATATGGGGAAATGGAGACTTTTAAAGTTATTTTCAGAAATAACATATGCAATCTGACACCTAGTGTTGAGGGTATTTTATGCATCATACGCTATTATCAGAGTATCTTTGATCATTTCCTTGAAAATCATTTGACATCTGCAAAGACTGTTTTTTCTTTGTTCATGTTATAGCTGCAAAGCAGTCTTGACGTTTTGTGCAGTCTTTAATCTTTTTATGCAAATTGCTGTCCCTGTAATAACCTGTTTAGAAAGTGAAAGTTAAATATGACAGAGAACTTCACAGAAAAAAAAAATATGCTCTGTAGTTTGTTTTTGCTTTCCTTCCTTCCTACACAGTCATTCATCCTCCTCTACTCTATTAGTAAAATTAGCATTCACCTTCTGTGACGTTGCCCTTGAAAGGAACATTCTTAATTGTGCCACAAAAGGCCTGTCCCACGTCCCATTTCGTGTAGACCAAATCTGCCTGCTTGGAATTTTAATGATACTGTAATAATAGAATTTAAATTAGAAAAACTGAGAGCATTAAAAAGATATCTGCAAGTGATTTCTTTAATGGAAAAGTCCTCATATTTATTTATAATCTTTTAGAAAAAATGCATGTTATGTTCTTGAATTTATTATTGATGGAATGACTGGTATGTAAAGCCCCTGAGTAACCTCAGTGCATATCCAAGGACTTTATTTGTAGAAATCCTGTTTTAGCCATATTAAATACATTTTAACTTTCTAACTTCTTTGACCTCATGTTGTGGAGGATTTTAAATTTTCTGAAATAAATTTTTTACATTGAAGTTGTGGATATGTTTCAGTTTGGCTATTAGAAAAAAAGAATCTTCAAGGAAATAAGAAGATTCATTTTTATTTGGATATATCTGCATTAATGTTTTTGCTTGGATCAGAAATAGATTTTTGAAGCAAATCTGCAGAGTGCCACTTAGGATGCTATGCTTCCATCACTGGGCAGTCTCCGAGGATTCAAACTTTACTCCTTTTAGCTGACACAAAATAGGAAGTTGCATAATTGCTGATGGGAAGGAGTTCAGTCTTCAGAACCAGAAGAGGACTAGTCTGAAATAATGCTTTTCCTCCCAGATATATGCTTCATGTCCTCAGAACCGTTTAACTCCAGAGATCTGCTACAATTTTACTAGTACTAATGTAGTCCTAGTCTTTGGATCCTCTGTAGTAAATTCAAATTCTGAGCTCATGAGAAAAAATTAACTGCTAATTTGTCAGGTGAATTAGGCTATGTATTCATTGCCAGTAACTTTCATTTAAAAATTCCGCATCTATTCTGATGTGGCAAAGAAGCCTGTGATATGGCCTCAAATATTTTCTGTACATGGGAAAATGGTAAACAGTAAATAATGTTGAGTGAGATGAATGACAGTATTAAAAGAAAAAAAGATGATGTATTTCATAGTAGCGGTTCTAATGTTGATGAATAAGTTTGCAAATGACATGAGAATTCCATGCAGATCTGATACTGTCTTGCAAGATACGAGTATGTTAATGAGTTAGGCGTGGAAAGAAATGATAAACAAAATATAAACTTAGTGAGAATATAAAGGTAGAGAGATTCTTTTCATGAAAATGCACTCATAAAAATCTGACATGACCCTAATTTTTCAGTCACTGAACCAATTTGAGCTGTAGTTTGTATTTAGAAGTCTTTGAGCTCAGCTTTCAAAACCAGAAAGCACAAACAATCTATCCGCTCCGTGTTTCAGCTTCTTAGTAGTATCACAGAACTAGTACTGTCTCCTTTAGCAATTAGTTAACATACACCTATCCATGCAAAGCTCACCAAAAGGTGTTTTCCTGGGTTTTGGCTGATTAGTGTTGGTTGGTTTTGGAGGTGTTTTACTTGGTTTTGCTTTATTTAGCAAAAACAAGCTAAAGTTCACCATTGTAGACAATGTGTGTTCTTGTAGTGCTGGCAGTGCATGTTTCTCAGGCCAGCAAGGCTAACACAGTGGAATTGAAGGAGATTGCTGAATAGCCTCACTTTCAGGCAAGCCTCCTTAGGCCTGCTGAGAGAAGTTGGAGAGAAGCAAAGAGACTTAGCTGGGGGACTTTCAGGTTTATCACAAAGTAGTCCTGTCACTCAATTAGAGATTCTCATCTTATGACAGGAAGGAATTGAGGTGCTGAAAAGGGAAACAACTGCCGTAATTGGTGCTGCCTTTTGGGAAGATTATCTTGCATTTGTTTGACCTGAGGACAGCTCTTTAGGAGCAGAAATCTCAGCTGAAAGGAAGAAGCAGGCTATAGCAGTGAGCGATTCAGTTATCACAATTTTACCTAGGCTGGGTTCGTAGCTCCAAAGAGGATCCCACTGTGAATTACCTGCATGGTACCCACACATCTGGGCAGGCTTGTAGGAATGCCAAGGTCATGGGCTCTATGTGTTGATTTTTGGCCCAAAGCTTTAATTGTCATGAGCATGATTGAAGTTTGATAAATGCATTTTTAAATGTTAAAATGTATCTTCTATTTTCTTTAAAGAAATTAGATCCACAATGAGAAGTGAAAATTTATAATACGTAAAACATGTACTTATAGAAAATGGCTGTATTTATTGCATAAGCATGAAATCAATCTTTTGCCACTTACTTGCCACTCAATAGT